GCGAGGGTGCAAACCATCCCCATTATAAATACAGCCCGTATCTCCCGATAGAAGGAGGTACTTCCGGTTCTGGATGGAGTCAAAATATTTTTGAAATTTAAGGCACTTAAGATACTTCATACCAAATTGAAAAGCTATGCCTCATGGTATAAGCAAATGATCAACCTTGTGCAAGATTTCCGCTGTACGTAGCAGTTACTGCTGTATTTAATACAATTATTACCATTGTTATCATATTAAGCACCATATTAAATATGATGGTCAGGTCTGTGAAATTTTAAGGACTACGGGTTGGCTCTGATTTATTGATTTAATTGTGACAAATCGTCCAATACAATACTGTTTTTGGGTTACCGTATCAATAATTCGTAATTTTGCTTATTAAAAAATCGCTTCCAATTCAATATAAAAAATTTTCAAAGGAATTATATGATACGTAAAGTTGTTGCTCGAATATCGCTATAGAACGTCGTGAGATTGATATTTCGAAATTGGAATTTTGCGAAATTCACGATTTTGACAAAACATTGAAATACTGGTGCAGAATGCCATAATTGTGTAATGTACAAATACTATTGACGCGTCGACAAATATTCGCACGAGTTACTCAAGCGCAGTGGTGCTCATTGTACAGTTACGTGTATAGCTACAAAATTTAATGGCAATCATAAACAAAGTCATCAATGAAATTCCTTTTTTTAATCGTTGTGAAAATCAGCCAAGTCATTGATTTCGTTCTGGGAAGGAAAACAAAAAGTATTGTAATAACGTTAAAAGCTCTTATCCTGTCTCATTCGTGCATTGTTCGAAGAAACGAGTACAAGGCTTCCACTTACAATTAGAGTGTTTATATTGAATACATGTATTTACGTAGGTAAAACATAATTTTAGCGAATTTGTGTGAAAGCACATAAATACAATTTATATGAAAGTCAGTCCTTATAAAACAATTTACTTTAATTAATGTACAAATAAGATTGTCAGATTTTTGGTAAACAAAGATAGTAATTAAAATACATTGATTAGTATCAGGCACAGTAAATCCCAATCTGAATACTGACAATGATATTTAATTACATATAAAAATAATTTATTATGTTCCTACATTCAATCCTCTCTCTCTCTTCAAGGTCTCTCTCCTTGGTCACCCTGCCTAAAAAATACGATAGAAAACGATTTTTAAAAAATCCTATCTAATCTAATCGTGTTTTTGGTTCGTAAAACTCTATCATCACTTCAACTTGATGTAGATAGGACTGATAGAAAACGATTGAAATCGGCAATTAGTTTTATTGTTTCTTATCGAATTCTATTGTATTTTTTAAGCAGGGCATCTAACTTATGACTCTGATATAAAAATCTAACAGCATAATATTCAACTGATAAGAACTCGTTCGTCAATTTTGGCTGAAATCTTTGAAAAATGTTCAAAAGGATTTCAAATAAGAGTCTAGGGATTTACTGATTTGAAGTTGTGAAAGCCACCCTAATGACGTAGAATGATATATATATATATATATATATTGAGATCGATATATTTCTTGTCACACTAGACAACCTGAAAATATATCCACCTGGCGCGGCCTGGGTCATTGGCTGCCAGGGCTCTAGAGTAATAAATGTTAATATGTTGAGCGCCAGTTAGTTTTAAGAACTAACAAACTTTCTTCAAAATAATTATCGGCTAACCGAGCCATGAGACGATCGCAAGGTGGGTGATTGGACGACCCAAGGAAAAGAAATTGCAAAGCCAAAGACACAGTATTCGAAAAGAGAATATAGATTTATTAATTGGAGATACTTGCAACGTCGACAATCGTCGATTATAATATTCAATCCTTCAATATTAATTCCAGTCAATTCAGTATTTCAGTACTTTATTATATATCCAATCCAATAACCAAATTATTTCAGGTTCACAATATTTCAATTTCAATAGTTCCAAATTCACACAAATTTCAATGTAGAAGAGACAGACAAATGACGAAGGCGAGACTCCTCGAGGGCTGAATTCCTCGCTATTCAATTGACGAAATAGAAGATAGCATTAGGCGATGCCTATTTTACCGGCTCACTTGTTGCTTGACCACGTGGTCCGTTGTTGGCGCTCGACTGGCAAATCAATATTCCGGCGCATGCGCGTTCAGCCCTCCAGTGTCTTTGTCAAACTACCGGGCCAACCATAGGTTGTCTCTTTGTCGCCCTCGCGCGATACATTATATGAGTAAGCAATAGACTCGATAGTTCAACGATTATTATTGACATATAATAAATTAAATTGCAGGTACCTTTATTTATGGTACCTTACGTTACCATAAATAACACAAATGACATAATTCCTATTTCGACAATTATACCTTACTCGTAAGTTTGTTCCTACGAGCGCTCGAGGAGTTTCAGGTGAGCGGTGACATCGAGGGGAAAGATAAAATTATTTTCCTGTCACAATATATTCTTGAGCAAGAGTTATTCTTATTATTTTTAACTAGTACTAAAGTACAGCCAATGGAGGACATTGAAATATTCGAATCAAAATCTGGAATGTGAGTCTGCTGAGAGGAGTGGAACGATCGAAGTTCTTTTCTACAAATGTTTGGTAACTTAGCTACCATGGTTACGCTTTTGCACCGTGACACACATAGTAAGGTTTATATTTCTGACATCCCATGAAACATGCGTAAAACGATTTAGCTTGGAAAAAAAATTATTTCTGTATCCTATATGCAAATACGTACTTGAATTAAAATCAATACACTAACTATAGTCACGATTGCTGTAAGTTTTTATTTAAAAAAAAAATTAATTATAATATTTATTTAAATTAAATTATTATGTATTAGAGCGGATAAGATGTATAATGACGAGTATAATATAATATATTATATAACAAGCGATCGAATCGCACTCAAGATTCATAAGCTCGTCTGAGCTTCAAGCATCTTTTATATAAAAAAAAAACTTCTCGATTAGCTCTTGACTTGATGCATTTCGCCTATAAATTACCCCGAAATGAATAATTCATCGTTTAAAATTGACTCAATTTTACATCAATACAATACAAGGCTTGTTTCCTTCTGTACAATGATAAACTGTCCTGTTAGTATCGTTAGTAAATATTAAAAGGATGTCTTAAGAACAACTTCAAGACATCATTTGGTCTGAAAGTTCTTGAAGTCATATTTCAGACGGTCTTTCGACAGATATGCTAGCAGGATAAGGACACGTGTGCAAATCAATTAGTAAATAGTTCACGAACAGTTAAAAAGTCAAGCAAATCAACTGCGCTGCTCACATTTGTAGTATAGCGTATACTTACGAATATCCATGTTGCAAGAACGATCAGCCAATGAAATCTCCAGGTAGAACTTCAATGACCTATTTTACAGTATATGTGTACGATCCCCGTGCTCGCTCGAGGAACTCGGTCGGTAAATCAGGACACGTTTAGAATCGACGACACCAGACGGATTGAAAGTCAAATCAAAATCTGTCGATTCAGCAATTGCGTTTAAACCTCAATAGTTACCGCAAGCGTGGGTGCACTGTGTTTAATTGACAATTATATACGGGACACCACCACAATATTATTTATAAATATTATTAGAACGTATAATAATATTAATTATACATATAGATATAATAAAGATATAAACACTGTAGGATGAAATAAGACGCAGGATTGTTTTAGTTCTGTTCCACAGATTTCGTTTGAATGATAATTTTCATATGTTACTATGTTGTTGTTGAACCGATTCACAATTTACCAGACTCACATCACTTGCTTGTAGAACGCGGTTCTTGCTGTACCCATAATTATTGTAAATTATTGAACTTTTAAGAATTCTAACCAAAGAAACAGGTTTAACCAAATTTTAGTGACAAACGTTTGTTAGGTTAAGTTTTGTGTGCTGACGTTATCTCGCTTGAAACACTTGTTGATTCAGGGCGAGCATATTCCTGGACAGGACGACAAGAACCACACCTTACCAGAGACTGTATGGGACGCGGATTGAGTTGAAAGGCCCTCGCTAGTGAGACCAGCTCAGGGCCGTACAACGTGACGGCAGGAATTCTTTCAGTAGTTTATAACATGTCATAAAATGTATCTGTGAAGTATTTGGCTGAAGATTTTTGAGGTCGATCGTAATCAAGAAAACAATGAAATACCTTGATGAAGTAGAACAGCTTATATAATTCGCAGTAACATTCCCAATATCTTTCATGACATTACTGTCGTTTCTAGGAAATATTCAATTATACTGATAGAATAATGCAGATTCTAGACGAAGTAGAAATAAAAAAAAATATTTTAACGTCAACTGTTGCCGTGAGTTTCTCAGACCCTTGTCAAATTTTTACGTTACATTAAGGATTGATTAATTGTGATCAATATCGCATTACGGATTATTTCGACTGGAAACTACTTTCCTTCGACTACAATTTCTACTTTCTAACAGATCCCAAAACGTCAATTGCCTTTCTCCGGTATGATATACGATTAATTATAGTCTACTACCTAGACATGTTTTGTCTACTTGAAGTTAAGCACAGGTGATCGGTATGTTTTGTATACGAAATGTTAACGTACTTACGTGTTGTTGAAAATTGTTTTTTCTGAACGTGTCCCGATAACTGCATTTAACTTACACCAGTTGTATTTTTCACTCTTCGAACGTATCGTGCCCTCTCTGAAGACGTTCCTGAGAATTCGTAAGGAGTAGGATTAACGGCATGATCTCGCAAATGGGGGTATGTACCGTTTGTCGTTTGGCATGATTTTATCGACGCGTCCATTACACTGCACGTGTCCCATAGCCGCCGCATACCACCTAGAGATAGGAAAAGACTGAATATCTGTAGGTAAACTTTGTACCTAGAAACTAAGGGCTTTAGGACCCCAGTACTCGGCACGAACTCAATGGTAATATCACAGGTGACGTTATCGACATTCGTCTAAAGTATACACATACATCGGGGTAACCACAAAAGCAATTATATTACATGACTCATCTAATTGTACCTTTTTTTTAAATTTATAAGCCATTCCTTACGATTATTTTGTCTTGCGATGTCTTAATAGATCAGTATTTCTTTGATAAAATTTTTGCACGGATGATACTTTACCAACATTTGTTAAATGTATTGTCTGCAAAATAATGTTTTTATATTTAATCACTTTCTTCTTCATATTATTCACAGGCACTTTTCATTCCCTACCAATATAAATATTCAACGAATTCAAAACCCCAAAAAAGTCGGATTAAAAAAAAATAAACACGAATACAATTTTTATAACGATTTTCAATCATTTTCGCAATAATTCCTGCATATTGATATAATGTTGATGATCTTCGCGCATATACAGGTATCGTTGAGTCGCATGCGCCATAGTCTACGAACACGTATCTTCAAATTGTACAGTAACGTCAAATCCGCGGTAGAAGATTGTGCGAATTGCATAGAGTTTCCCACGACCCTTAAGTGTGCAATACAAATGACATCCATTCGAATATACAATTAATTATACTTCAGCTTCCTCTTCTTTCGGAAAGTAACAGTACTCATTCTTTGCTGTAGACGTCCCCGCCTAAGATGTCCTTGTTTGCCTGTTGCGTTCGCCGGGTGAGTCATTATTCGTTTTAAGCGAAAAATAAATTAAATAACAATAATTGTTTTCACAGTGGCGATGACGCAATTACGATAATACATAAACGACTCAAGTTTATACACGTGTTATAAGATCGTCACGTTATCTTATACTTACGCCGCATTTTTAATACATGACTATATTTTCTCAACTTGCTTAACATATAATCCACGTAGAATAGCAATGTTCCATTTGAAATAAAGCTGAACCATCATTGTAAAGATAACAAATCGCAATGGATCATTAAAATGGAGAATTTTTTACTGATAAGAATTTGGCATTAAACACACAAAGTCATAAAAGTCTTATTGAAAAATATAGCAATGCAAGTAAAGGAAGGAAGTGTAAAATTTGTAATGCATTATTCATAAAAATTATCACTGCGTCGTATTGAACAAAAATCTATATTATTTTTTAAAAATCTTTTAGAAAAAAATGTGTCTTCGTACAGCTACAAAAAACCGATGAATTTTTATCGATATAATTATGATAAAATTATTTTTTATATACTTTTTGTCGGTTATATGCCCTTCTATAATGAGTAAGACGATAACGTCAATAATTCTGTAGAATTATTTATTCGATCCCAATAATTAATTAATTCTATTATACGTGGGAATTCACTTCGATGCCTGTATATACGCGCGTATAGCACGACACTCCTCAGAGATTGATAAATATAATAAAACTGTCATACAATAATTTTGCGAATAACAGACTATGACTTTAATATTACAAAAGAGTTTTCCATCTATTATTAACCTGTATAAATATCACATGCGAACAAGTTGAAAAGTAATTGCGCAACGAGTTGAGCTTCACGTTTGCGTCATCTGATCTCGACATATAATTTCCTTTTAACGATCGAAATTTAACGAGAAATTAAAAACAGAAAGAGACTCTTGGTAATTGCTTTTCGAGAATAGCAAAAAGCCTTAATGCGATTGGAAAATTAATGAAGAAAAGTACTTCTCTTCGTTTGAAATACATACAGAGAAATACGTTCTAACGGATATTTTAAACAGCAGTAAAGCGGGTTTTCATAGAACAGTAAGCGACCTTAATTAGACGCCAAATTCCAATGCGCCCCTGTCGACGATGTGGCAAAATCGGTAAACATAAAAAATGAAGTTCACACCGTTGCGAGGCGAGCCGACCAAGTACACAAGGATGGAAGATCTGGTTCGCTAGGGCGAATGAATACATTTTCCGCTACTTAACGGATTTCATGCCCAAGCATCAAAGCGTTGACGTCCTTGCTCTAATCAGCAAAGATATTAATAAACTCGACGCGCTGGTATTTCGCGAATTTGTGCAGTGTCTTGTTACGTATTAAAACAAAATTGCCTCGGTACGTTCGTTCGTTGTCTCAAACTGTATAAAAATAATGACTTTGGCAACGTTACGAATTATTAGCAATGCGCGCGTCCAAGGAAACGATTTATTGTCACGAAGGAAAAGTATGTAGATTCCACTGGATTTTTCATATTTTCGAAATATCATGAAACGTTTTTAAAATTTTTGTTAAACTGTTGCGATTTATTGTACAAGTTGTCTTTTTTTAATATAGCACAACGAATCCATTAAAAACCATAACAGTTCTTCTTTGTCTTTCAGAGGAATAGGCGATCGGAAGAGGTGACCCTGCAGGAAATGATGGAGGCCCCTGAGATCTCTTGGGAAAATACACTTGGTGCCCCAGGTGGTGTGCCGTTTGACCACGAGACTAAAGAACTTCTCAAAAAATGTCTAGATGTCTCACAGCCTTTACCAACGACCTCATTAGAAATTATCAAGAGAAGCGAATCGTTTCCTCTTAAGTTTCCGATCAATACCGTACGATGTGCAGCACTCAAAGACAGAGGAATCAGCGAAGACGTTCTGGATGTACATAATTTTTTTTTTAACAAACTTTCAACATCTTAAATAATTCCTTATACAATTTTCATAATCATTACAGCTTAATGCCAATTCCGTATATCCATTAATTCACGAGGCAATGTTACCCCTGATCGCTGGTTGGTTAAAATACAAAAGAGAATATGGCAGCGCGGTTGAGAAAGCAATGTACAAGGATATGGGATTGATACATCTGATTCAACGTCTTCTTGAAAAAAGGGCTGCATGTTTTTACGGTGCTGAGGACCGTTATAAATTAATAGACAATAAGACCGGTGTACAGGGATGGGAAAGTGTGGGTACGGATCATGAAACAGAGCCACTGGTAAATATTAAGATAATAAAAATTAAAAAAGAAATTTCCATTTAGATGTATAGTTAGAAGTTGAATTGAAAATTTTTTTCAGCTCTTGGCCAAGTGCTTGTCTTACGACGAGATCAAACTATCTGCCATGATGATTGTTTCGTCACATACGGAATTCATAAATGATGGTTCGCGCGACAACAGAGGAATCGTTACCGATGACCCTGACTCTGTTCAACCCAGAGGAGTCATTATGGGCGTCGTGGGAACCAGGTAAACAGGAACTTCCGTTAAAATAATTTTTATATGAATTGCATAAGTCTTATGTTTTATGCCATTACGGCAATCCATATGCTTTTATCAGATAGTCGTTTGTTTCTGTTGTGCAGGTTTGAACGAGCAGGTGTCATGGAGTCACAGGACATTCTTGTGACGCATTTACAAAATAATATGGATAATGGGTGGGTTTGAATCGTTTGGTTGTAATCACTGTTTCTTGTTAAAGGATAATTTCAAATTTATTTTTTGCGATGATTATAACAGATATGGACCAGGCATTGAAGGAACGTCGGAAGAGAAACGTGGTCTGCGTGTTGTCTGGGCTCGTTTCTATGGAGAAGAATATCTGCCACTTTATGAACAAGTCGTTAAGCGTGTCAAATCAAAAGATAACCGAAGATATCTACCTCTTACTGGCCACAGTATCTTTGATATTGAGAATTACATGAAGAGGACACTTTTATCGGTAGAGATGATACTACTTGAAGCGAATACTAGAGCGGAGAAACAAAATACTACAGCTTTTTTGCACGTTGTGGGACTCGGCCTGGGTTAGCATTAGAGAAGTAGATTGCTGAAAATAGTTTAATAATTTGAATGCATAGAATTTCGTGTATTAAGTCGAATATATTTGTCATAGTTTTCAATTGCTTTGACAGGAGTCTGGAGAATCATTCAGGATCAAGAAATGTACTTCCTGAAGACTTTCGAAATCGCTATAAGGAAAATGAATAAAAAGTTAAAGTACGTGTCAGATATAATGTTCGCGTACTTTAGGCAACAAAAATGCGGAGATGCAGGAAATGGAGATTATCTGGGGGGTATGTAGTATTTATAATTAATAGAAAAGCATATGCTATGACATTTTTCTTCTGTTTACTAGATATAAAAATTCATTTTGCGCTAAGAGAACCACACAGTAGGCTCTTGCGACCAGCTGACTCGAACAAATTACTGGTGGTGACTTACGCCTGGGACGGAAACGCATTGCCAGGTTCATATTGCTAATTAATTACATATGAGAAAATAGCCACATGTCTTCTATTTAATTTCTCTTTCAGGAAATGAATTCTGGGATGGTTTCTTGGCTGCAAGTGGAGATCCAGCCGCTGCTTGCAGTACTCAAATAACGGAATTACACACTGCGAAAATAAATCCACGTACAGCTGGTTCCAGTTTGCACGTGGCATCTCCTGAACACGGCATCTTACATATAGCAGATTACGCGAGATTACACCTTGCTTAGGTATATGTCAATATAATTTACAATTAAATGTTACAGAAATCTAGTCCGCACTGTCTCGATATAATGAATTCTTCAAATTTATATTTAGGACAGGATTGGCCCGCTGGGCACAGGTCAACGAAGACCATCAAGATCACCTCGAAGTCAAAGAAGTCGCAGCGCCGATGTAGATTGTTTAAAAAAGTACACTGAGCGACGAGTAGAGGAAAGAAGGCACACAGAAGCTGGTGAAACCAGATTAGATCCTTCGCGATGGATACCACAGCCAAAGAATATTTCACGCATCAATCCTACAGCCAGAAAACAGACAGATTCGGAAAATCATCGTCAGAACGAAGTAGGAATTTCCAGATTAGAAACTTCCAGGTGGTTACCGGCAATACCAAAAAAAGTATGTCCTGAACAAGAAAGATATAAGATGCCAAGTGGTCCAGAGAATTACGAGTATCGCTCACCGAGACTACAGCACTCTACAGGTAGATGTCATAGCACAGATGTGACGCTTTTTCAGAAGAGCAGATGCATAGAAGAGAGAAGACACACCGATTGCACTGGTGACAGAAGGGCTGTACCTTTAAGATGGATGGCTTTGTCGCAAAGTACTTTACGCAGCAATGCCCCCCAGCGAAAGAACGAAGGAAGCAGTGATGAGATTACGAAAAATTCTACCACCAGGTGGATTACCTTTGCGAAGAATCCATCGCCATGTCCTATATCTCGTAGAAATCTCGAGAGAAAATCCTCCATCGGAGATACTTCGAGAGGAGATCAAGTGAGCAGAAATGAAGTAAAGAAGGACACTTCGAAATGGCAGCCTTTAAGAAAGTTCGCGTCTTTGACAACTTCGCAGCTGAACTCGGTCGGTAATTCGAGTAACTGTACCAGCAATCAACAACAGTATCGACAGAGTCAGGATAAGATTGGAAACTTGAGTCGCTCTCCCATGAAGGAAATTCGAGAGAATGACATAATTAAATCTACAGAACAATCTCAACGTAATCTCAGTCAACGTATGAGGGATCTTTACGACTTTAAAACAGAAAATGAATGGCCCAAAAGAATAACATCTTCGCACGATCACAATTGGATCAGTAAGAGCAGCAGTGAGGAAGACAAAGGCTATGTCCCGCGAAGAAGAAATAGTCAGGATTTAGAATTTAATGATAGAACTAAAAACTCTAAAGGTCCTCGTGCTCGTCAACCAGGAACTTCTCACGATGACGACGATAATAACATCCACGAACTTCGTAATATTAAGGCACCTAACACCAGTGATGTTTTTAGGCACGATCAGGAAGAACGACTAAGGAAATTCCAAGACAGGATTCGCTTCAGTGAAGATCTAGGAACCGAAAAGCTCAAGATGCGTGATAGAAGGACCTACTCCGACGACTATGACGAGAGAAATCATCGCAAGATGACTGATGTCGAATCCTTAAAATGGGGTTCTTATAAAAACGGCGCTGCTGATTCACGCGAAGCTTATTTGCATAAAGATGACAAGAGAAATTCCGATGCTAGTTATAAATCTCGTGAATCTCGAGATTCATGTGTCAGCTATGCGGAGATCGACTTTTCCAAGAGGAATTCTCGCACCAGTGACCATAGCTATGCAAGTATCAATTACACGGCTAGTAAAAGAGGGAGCGTCGAGTGTAAAACTATAAGGCAAGTTGATCTTCCACCAAGAAGAGCCTTTAGTCAGGGTGAGGACAGACCTGCTACTCCGGTTCCACCAGTGGAAATGAATGATGCATGTTCTTCTGTCAAGACCTCTTCTCCTAGACAAAAAAGGGATAGCACTAGGTACAAGGTTTACCTTACATAGATCAAAATAGTTCACAAGTTATCAATACTTTGTTATCATCAAACTACTCACGTTTCTTCTTCTTTTCCCTTTTTTATGTTTTTCTTTCATTGCATCTCTTTGGTGAAGTACGTGATACTCTTTATTATAGGATTTTTGACTGGATTTGGAATAGTATAAGAAATATTTCTTTATTATAGGAATGTTGTGACTGATGGATTTTAAGTGATTTTATATTGAATATGGAATTACGTATTTCATTCATCAAATTATTTCATAATTTTATGAAAGTTTATAGCACCATACCATTCGTGTACATACAAGTACTTGAATGTTGTGTTACATGACTGTGACTGTATAATGGCAGAGTCCGATGAACTGGATGACTTCTATTTAAGCATTATATCTACAGCAAGATATTCTTGGATTTAATCTGTTTCATGTAACGAATTTGACTGGACCAATGAATGTAAATTAAATTTTGTAAAAAACATTAATTCACTGTTTGTAATGAAGCTGTACGGCTCATCATAATTATGAAGTGTCGATATGTTATATTATCAAAGAATTCTTCTCGGTTTTAGTGATACATAATTAATTACTTATGAATTTGTCAACAACAATGTGAAAGCCTATTGTGAAATTACTAGGATTTTAACAGTTGATTAAGAGTACCTATGGAATCAAAAATAAATATGTCGTAACAATGTTATTAACAATTGTACAGTTCCCAATTCATTATTATCAATTGAATATTTCTAAATATTTTAACACCCTTAATTTTATTATTTGGCTCATTACCGAGTGAAAATCACCCATATTAAATCCTCACAATAATTAATAGAAAATGTTGTCAAAAATACAATATAATAGAAGAGACCAAATTAATATCCTAACACCATTCTGTACAAACAACATAGAAAGTACTTATAAAGTATACAATTCTGTTATCAGCAACAAGCCAGTCGTACTCTGATAAAATAATACAAATGGTTTTCATGCTAACAATATCCTTACCAAAGTATGTTATCAAAAAAATTACTTGTAAAGCTAAATGGCATTGAGAATACTTTAGGAAATATTATTAAAGTAGGTTACTATTATTATTAACAAAGTATTCGTTCTGGCATTCTCTTATCTCATGTATTCTGATATCTTATTTTTCATCCTGACTCGCTTATTTTGCTTATAGTACTACAGCAGGTAGGACTACACTTTACTTAATACAATGAAGTCTATTTTCTTTCCGAATTCTTAAAATCATTACGAAATGGAGAATTTGTTTCCTTAACGAATGCGATTCGTACTCGTTTACGTATAGGAACAACATGTGAAGGTGGTGGTGGTACTTTGCACTCTCTATTTTGTGAAGACGTTACAACTTCCTCTTCATCCTTTTCAACCTTCAGTCTCTTTTGACCACAACTTCCGCTTCCCACACCATTGGAATTAGAAACTCCACCAGTAGAACTGGTACAACTATGAGTAGAAACTGATTGTGCTGGGCCAATTTGAGGTGATCTTGGAAACGTAGCAGTTTGTTGACGATTAACGGAGTCAGGAGAACGTAAGTGATTTCCGTTATTCGATAAGCTTCCGGTAGAAAAGTGAGTTTGGGTACCGGAAACTAGAGATAAATTTTGTTTGCTAGAAACTACGTCAGTACTATGGGTAGGTGCAATCATTAAAAGATTATTGCCATTTCTATCACAGCCCAATTGTGATGTTGAATTTTGCACACTTCGCTGAATCGTACAGTTTACTTTATAACCAGATGTAGCTTCTGTGTCTTTTGTTTTTTCTTGCTTGAAATACGTACTAGATCCTTTGCTTTGAAAACTCGTCGAATTTTGTATGACGAAATGAGGCTCGCACTTTATTCGTACACCATGATGATGCAGTCCATTACGATCTTGAGCTTTTTGCCACTCGAGAACGTTACTTAAGAGTCTTATGTACCTTTAATAATATATTTATATTTATTAGTACAATTATTCAAGCTCATACTTTTTATAGACTTTGTATACAAACTTATCAAACATACTTTATGGCCATTCGTAATATTTCATTTTTTGAAAGCTTCTTATCCGGTGGATGAGTTGGTACTAATTTACGAAGTTCAGCAAAAGCTCCACTGACATTTTGCTGTCTCCACCGTTCACGACTGTTCGTAAAGAGCTTTCTGACTCCTAGAGTTCCTACTCTTGGCGAAGGTGAGCCTACCTGTCCACTTCCCGACGATGAGATCCCGTCCAGCTGCAAGATTAAATTTTATTTCTAATGTCTTATAATTTTTATAATTTTTTTTCACATGGTTTTTTCTTGAGCGGCAGATTTTTCTTGCATCAGGATCACGATACGAGTGCATACCCTGTAGTATATCATATCCGATGGCTATGAAAAAATATGTCAATCAATGACGTACTAGACTACGTCTTATACCCGATCCAATAAATTCAGCCTAAGGCTACTGGATAAATAAATGAGATTTGAAAACTCACAGAGCTGGTTCGATCCCTTCTTCTTTTATTCTGATCATCTTCGTCATCTGTATCATATGAATAAAAGTCATCAGAGAGTGTAGCCTCTTCTTCAGTGTCTCGAGGTGTTCCTGGTGAATCCCCAGGTTCCTCAGCAAGTTCTCCTTCACCGGACAGAAGAGAATCAACCGGAGAACCATTTTCTGCGTCGCCGGCGGTACCATTGCTGCCATTGAATGTTAACATCGGCTACGAGTCCAGGATGAAGAATTTTGTAAGAATTTTCAAATCTATTATTTTCATATAAAAATTATTTTCACTTCGACCATTAAAGTACCGATAAATAAAAACAAATGTATTAACACTATTATCGTTAATTTTAATTAAACACGTTTCAAATTCCACAATTGTACATTTCGAAATAATATCTTAAACCCTAAATTCATTATTTTTGTAAGATAAATTTATCACGATAACAGCACATATAAAGTTTTCAGAATTTTACCCAATCTTTAATTTATCACTTTGCCCCACACTGCACAAAAGTAACGTCAACGAAGAAGAATTTCAGTAATCATCAAACGTTAAAGTAACATGCACAAAGTGAAGTCTCCACTTGTCAAGAGAAAATCGATAATTAGAGATTAAAGTAGAAAACTCCGGTTTACACTAGAGAGCGATACCAGTCCAAACATTCTGTTAATCGAGCTGGGTGAGTATATTTCTCATAGCTTTTGCATCCAATTCATGACTATTATAATGATGAGCCACGTGTCTAGGTAGAGTATTATTGACTCCTGGTGTACTATCCTTGTGATGAAAAAGAACTTCTTGTCGAGCTCTCTTCATTTTATCCGGCTCGTTACTGGGACCATCATCCTATAAATACAGATAAGAAATGCCTTTTTTATAAAACTATCAAAGCATTTACCATTCCTTCGACATTTCTCAACATGCCATTTTACCTGAAGAGACCATCATCCTACAAATACAGATAAGAAATGCCTTTTTTATAAAACTATCAAAGCATTTACCATTCCTTTGACATTTCTCAACATGCCATTTTACCTGAAGTGTACTATTTAAAAGATTCAGATGACCTCGTTCTTCGGCGATCTCGAGGAGCTCCTCAAGTTCCTCGCTACTGTCATCACCGATGAATGCACATTCATGCAAATTCTTGTGACCACGAATGATCGTCAAAGAAGCTCCCGGCCATCTGATATGACAAATAAAATAAAACGAACAATTTCCTAAGCAACATTCAATTACCTAATTTGTCTTTTTCTTCAAAAATTATACCTTACACAGGTAGAAACAGTTACGCTACTTCCACGAAGGAGATAGAAGCCCCAATACTCCTTCATATCGTCCTCGAGAATAAGATGTCTAGTCATTGATACAGGGATGGTTTCATCTTTGACCTTAGGCTCTTCTTGCATAAGATATGCATTAAACGTCGCATTGACTTTTACCACTTGTTTCTATAGTCAAGGAATAAAAGATAATAAGTTAAATAAGTAAGCTGTTATTTTTAAGGAAATTTTTTCTACTTTGCAAACTTATACTGATAGTATAATATATTCAAGTATCAAATATCTCTCAAATAACTAAGACATAAGATACAGTGTCTCATCGAAATTTTTACAAATTAATCATTTATCATAATATCTTAAACCCTAAATTGATTATTTTTGTAAGATAAATTTATCACGATAACAGCACATATAAAGTTTTCAGAATTTTACCCAATCTTTAATTTATCACTTTGCCCCACACTGCACAAAGGTAACGTCAACGAAGAAGAATTTCAGTAATCATCAAACGTTAAAGTAACATGCACAAAGTGAAGTCTCCACTTGTCAAGAGAAAATCGATAATTAGAAATTAAAGTAGAAAACTCCGGTTTACACTAGAGAGCGATACCAGTCCAAACGAACGTCGTGTGTCGAATGCCAAGAGACTTAAAAGCATCTCATTAACAAACGAGAAAACAATTAGCCTCTATAACAGTAAGAGAGGAAGCAGATATCGCACCCTGTCAGAGGCTCTGTCCCTGACATTCACTAGATATGTGTCAGTCATTTTATCAGTTTGATTTAGTGCCAGAGAAAATCACGTCGAAAAGCTACGAACAACGAAGAACAACCATAAGCATCTGTTCATAAATAAGTAATAATAAATCACTTATAACAAATTATATATTGTCAAATAAATAATTGGATATTTTACATTATTTAAACGAAATTCTTTTGTAACGTGAAACTAAACCATACAAAGAGTAATATAATTAAACTTTAAAGATAACAGCCTGATAATGCATACCCGATAAGAGGCTTTCTCTTGTAGGAAATATTATTTTAATAATGTTTATCTTGAATGGCGAGTGCATCATCGTAATTAATATATTTAAAAGTGAATTGTCACTTACCATATTTTCGGTCTAGTATCAAATGTCAATTTCTTTTGATTTACTGACGGTTGATGTGTTTATGACATAATCCAAATTTTTATTTAAAAAATCACTAGATGACACTAATAAATTTCACGTAGAATTGAGAAAATTATCACTTTCTACTAAGATGACTGACTGTGCGAACTGTTCGTATTTGACTAATAGAAAGTCCGGCGAGCTACCCCTGGGGAAATGAATTTTGCGAAGGCGGAGCAGTAAGGATTTGTGGGTGGGGCTGCTACCCGGGACGTCCCATACTCTCCTCCATATACAGCATCCCTCTATCTCCTCGTCTGCATCCCTAGGTCGCTGTTAAAACCTCCACTCACTCTTAGTGATATCATAGTTGTGAAAATAGACAAATAACAGATGTTCTGGGGACTTTTTCTAAGTCATCGCTAGGGGCGTAGTGCATATTCCTAACCCTATGTTTAAAACATATGTGAAGATACCTATTGCTATTCCTTTAAGACAAATGTAATATTTTTTTTGTAAATACCAACAGAATATAGTTGTTCACATATTTATATTCTGGTAACTGAAAAAACTTCTATTTTATTCATAAATTTACATATCGTTATCAGGGTATATGTATTTATATAAAATCACAGTAGATAAAAGTATAATACGTATAGACAAAATAATAAAAAAATACAATTATAGACTCCTAAATTTTATCTCCCATTTTTTATTTCCACTCAGAATAAACAGAATTCAAAATTTAATACTATACATCTCTGCTGTGACGTCAGAGTACAAGTGTGAGGTTAAGAGTTTATTAAATTTCTATCGTATTATTTCTTTATTGAATAAAAATAGTTTACAGTCGGATAGGTGCAATTTCAGTTTTTTTTTATTTGCATATCGCTTGAGACAGGTTCGATACACATTTGATACACTATAGTTAGTTTCTTTATTAAGCATATATCAGAATACATATATTCATTATGCTGAGGGGTTGGATTATACATGTATGAGAAAATTAATAAATACTAAAAACGAAAATTGTATCATGATCATATCAGTTTCGAGTGATAAGGGATTTTTTTATATTTGAAGTTCGATTATTTGATATTTTATTAGAAGACTCAAAGAGGAAGTGGAGATTTGGATGAGGGATTCCATGAAAAAGTACCCAGGGTTCTGTAAGTGGCGAGTGTTCATTGCTGATAAGGGTTGCTCCGCCTACCAACCTCTGAAACCCAGCCACCCCTGCGGAACTACCTAGTCCTATCACAGGGTCAAGTTGTAAGCGAGCTCCGTTGCCAGCATAAAGGATTAATCTCAGAGATTAAGGAAGCAAATCGACGGTGGATTAATTTTTAAGATGCCGGAAAGTGGAAAGGATTGTATTAGCAGTTTATTAATAAACAAATAAATACACGAGTTCGTTCGCGGTTAATTATATTTTATCGCACTAATCTATTATTGCTAAGGATAATCCCACGTCATTGTTTTTCGAATTCAGAGGAAGTGAGTCATTAGACAATTTTCAAAATTAATAATTATTGACTGCCTGTAGAAGATAGACACAGAATTTCCATTTAGAACTTCATTCAAATTCTGATACAGACAATTAAAATTGGACTTAACAAAGTAGTGACAGTTAGATTATGGACTGTGTACTTTTTGAAAAATCTTTAAAAACTTTCATAACTTATCACTTTTAATCGATGTAATTTTAATTTAACAGGAGATAAGATTTTGTATTATTTTTTAATAATCCGCAACACATATGGTTCATAGAAGATGCTGGTATACAATCAGATTTCAATTAGTATGAATCGCTTCACACTTGCTCTATAATTGCAGAATACAAAATTCGTATTTTTTGGTAAAATATATGATGATATACTAATTACAAGTAATTAAACATCGACCAACAGTTTATCTACTCGATGGAATTTTTTGGCGCTATATAACTAAGAATGCGATGAAAATGCTGCGCATGCGCAAATCGGGCAAATTGTACATTGTCGCACTAGCGCTTTCTTCTCGCACTAGTGCGATAAAGTAAACTTTGTTCTCGCGCGCTGTCATGAAATGCATTCACTTTGGAAGCCTTCCTTGCTCTTCTTATGGCTGCCTCCTCCAACGAAGAGATGTTCCAGTCACTTTGGAGGCACAAAAAGTAGCGTTTTTCATGCATGAGTTACATAATAGTATATTGTGCACCGAGAGCGAAAACGGGCGTTTCTGCGCCCCGTATAAAGTTGAGGTTCCCGTGGCGAAGACGAGGGGTTCTCAACTTTATACAAGGCACAAACGCCCGTTTTCTCTCGCGGTTCACATACTATTTTCTTCAACAGCGGAGCGAACGCGAGTTTTCACGTAGTGGGTGATTGTTGGGTCGGTGCAAATAAGCAGGTTAGTTTGGTGACTTAGGAAATCACAATGAAACAACTGTGCAGCCTACAGCTTACGTGAAAAAAACAATTGCCCTGGTGGTAGCTGGTCGTTGGATTCATCGGCAAATGTCACCTCACTCCTATTCAATTTTTCAATCTTCCATGTTTCCCCATTCGAAAATTGCCCGTTTTCGCTCCGCTGTTGAAGAAAAAATATTGTGCGATACTGGTGCAATAAAGCGAACATTATACGCAGGTCGTGAAGTTTGTCACAATCTCCGCACTCATAAAACAAGCAGCACGCGCCCTCGGCTCGTGCCGGTTGTACGACCAACTTCACCGCTTGCCTATAAAGTTCGCTTTCTCGCACTCCTATCGCAAAGTACTATTTAATTATTAATCTCAAATAAATTGGCCTAGTGGCCGGACACCTAACCTAACCTAACCAGTCCCAGCAAGTCCATAAGAAACCGTATTTGCAGACACGCTTAGGTTGGAGGCACAAAAAGTAGCGTTTTTCACACTCGCCACACACGTAAAACAAGCAGCACGCGCCCTCGGCTCGTGCCGGTCGTACGACAACTTCACCGCTTGCCTATAAAGTTCGCTTTCTCGCACTCCTATCGCAAAGTACTATTTAATTATTAATCTCACATAAATTGGCCTAGTGGCCGGACACCTAACCTAACTTAACCAGTCCCAGCAAGTCCATAAGAAACCGTATTTGCAGACACGCTTAGTCCGGTAACTGGGACGTTTATCTTAGGTATAAAATCCAAATAATTATTAGCAAAGTCGTATTATATTCATAGAGTAAAAGAAACAATTAAATTTTAAAACTTAAATTTTTCCCTAATCCTTTGTATACGTACAAGATCGAGATTAAGTTAATTATATGTAGATCGATCAATCGAAGTATAGATGTATATACTGAATAATTTTTCCCAAGCAATCAAACTACTATTACAAGTAGCACCCTTAGTGACATATTACAATATGGTTTCTAACCTAAAAAAAAATCAGTCTCTCCTTAGTATGCATTAGGGGTGGGAATTCTGGGTAACTCCCTGCTGTCAAGTGGCCACCAGCCACGTGCTACTTTATTATGACACTTCGAAGGGCCGTAATGATTTTCGAAAGGGATCCACCAAGCGTTAACCCACGAAATCGATTAAATGATTATATCTAGAAGGATGCTCATTCGAGCGTCATTACTGGCCGATCTGCGTGGGAGTTTTGAAACAGATATATTCAATCAATAAAATTAATAAAAATATCTTTATGACTGATATAGGAAAATAATAGAAAAAAAATTGTGAGACGATATACCTAACATCAAAATTTGATTAGTTAATGAAATTTTACAATATTTATTAATCATATTGTTTATCGCGATTTAAATATATTCATTTATCCTGGCGGATTCATGTACTGCAGAATTATTAATACATACGTTGACGTGGCACTTAATACCTGAAATATTAATTTGAATATTAATTTCATTGCTGGTTTTGAATTTCAGGATAAACTTACGAAGAACATTTGCCGATAATCCAAAAAGAACACGTTCAAAATAGATATACGAAAATTTGCTTCATCTGTATCTTGTAGAAAATGTATTAGCTATTAACCAACGAAATCAAATGTTATATTAGGTCATTCAACATGCTTCAGTTGGAAGATCGTATTTATAATATGTAAACATATATGTACATATAAAATTACCTGTAATTTAGATTCATCGTTTATTTTACTGCTGTCTAGTAAAGCTGCATTTGTAACTAATTGGCTTGCCTGCAATACATAAGTGGCCATGAAATACTGAATCCCTTGTATATTCTATATATCAAGGATATCATTACTTATGTATAATACAAAGTAGAATTCTGTGATATAATTAAAAATATCAAACCTTAGCCGTGACTTGTTCACCTCGATGACACAAATAAATATTTCGAGATATGACTATAACTGAATATATGAAAAAAAATAAACTTCGCACTCTTTCACTTTCATTGAGGCTCCTTCGATTAGTGATAAAATATATTACATAAAATGCATAAATCACACACGTAATTTGATTGTAAGTGAACATAACAAAGAGCTGAAACCCAAACATGGAATTTGTAATACGGATAATACGACTTAAATCCTGGCATATTTCACGATATTCCTTTATGTAAATTTTGACATTGACTTTATCAATTTTCAAATATTTTTTCTTATTAGTCCAACATTCCCAATCGTATTGAGAAACTGATGGCAAATTAGTTTCCATTCCAAATCTAATACCGTCAATTATTATCTGAAATAAAACGAAGTTTCGTTGATTTAACTAAATGTATACGAATAGAAGTAAACAACTTGAAATACCTCTAGCGATGCAAATAAAAGGGAAGCTAATGGTTCTGCACAGTATGTCGTCATCTCGTACCAATACATAATAAAAAATTTAAAATATTGCATTGCCGAAAAAAGTGAGCTAGAACAATTGCACATGTTGTATATATCCATATCATTATATATATTATACAAATGTAATATATAATATAGATTATCTATATCACTTACAATTCACATTTGTAAGAATACCAAGACATGATCTTAATTGTTAGGGTGAAAATAAAATAGGTAACAATCGGAAATGCACATGTCCAAGAGCCTTTTAATCGACTCTTATCAGTTATAATTAAGACCCTGGTGTACAATTCATTTATATCATTTAAAAGCTTTTCCATTTCTTTACGCCTCGTGATCATTATCACAATGTTCAGCATGGCCATGCTTAAAACGGTTAATTTTAATAAATTTCCGGCTATACGGATTAACGTTATCGTGTTGAATAAAAGTTCAAATTTCCCTTCGTAATTCCTGAAATATATTAATGGAAGATTATTTAATTAGTTTGTCATTACATATGCCGTATTACCTAAATTCATTTATTATGTTGATAAATATTATTAAAATATGTATCAAACAGAAATTCGTGCCGATTTTACTAATTTTCCAGGTACACGTATGTGGTTTGTAGTATTTCTCTTTCATTTTACAACAGAATATATGAAAAAAAATAAACATCGCACTCTTTCTCTTTCATTGAGGCTCCTTCGTTTAGTGATTAAATTTATTACATAAAATGCATAAATCACACACGTAATTTGATTGTAAGTGAACATAACAAAGAGCTGAAACCCAAACATGGAATTTGTAATACGAATAATACGACTTAAATCCTGGCATATTTCACGATATTCCTTTATGTAAATTTTGACATTGACTTTATCAATTTTCAAATATTTTTTCTTATTAGTCCAACATTCCCAATCGTATTGAGAAACTGATGGCAAATTAGTTTCCATTCCAAATCTAATACCGTCAATTATTATCTGAAATAAAATGAAGTTTCTTTAATTTAACTATATAACAAAACAATAATTAAACAATTTGAAATACCTCTAGCGATGCGAATAAAAGGGATGCTAATGGTTCTGGACAGTATGTCGTCATCTCGTACCAATACATAATAAAAACTTTATAAAATTTGATTATCGAGGAAAATGTACTAGAACTAGAACAGTTGCATATATTTTATATGTATATCTATATAATTATATATATTATATAAATGGAATATATAGTATAGAAATTCTATATCACTTACAGTTCACGATAGTAAGCATACCAAGACATGATCTTAACTGTTAGGGTGAAAATAAAATAGGTAACAATCGGAAATGCACATGTCCAAGAGCCTTTTAATCGACTCTTATCAGTTATAATTAAGACCCTGGTGTACAATTCATTTATATCATTTAAAAGCTTTTCCATTTCTTTACGCCTCGTGATCATTATCACAATGTTCAGCATGGCCATGCTTAAAACGGAATGCTCGGTGATTCCCTGCTGTCAAGTGGCCACCAGCCACGTGCTGTTTTATTGTGACACTTCGTAGGGCTCTAGGGATTTTCCAGAGGGACGAACCAGGTATCATTCGAGAGAAGGAGATTAAATGATTATATCTAAAATGATGCTCGTTCGAACGTCATTACTGGCCGATCTGCGTGGGAGTTTTGAAACAGATATATTCAATCAATAGAATTAATAAAAATATCTTTATGACTGATATAGGAAAATAATAGAAAAAAAATTATAAGACGATATACCTAACATCAAAATTTCAATAAAAAATGCCATCCTTTGAACATGGGAATCTAAATACATTGAAGAATACAAAATTATAATCCAATCAGCATGCATTTCAGATCATGTGAATTTTACTGCAAATAAACACACAAACAAACAAATGTAAAGTACTATTCTGACCATTATGTGTTACACACCTGTGAAATGATAAGAACTAAGGGTGGAAATTGATAAAATTTCATATAAATTTGTAACGTACCCCTATTATGCTACATAAAGTAGCCATCAATGCGGAACCCTAATGGCACCATAAGTAAGGTTAAAGCTACCCCTATTTGAGGGCACGTGCCAATTTCGCTTTTGAAAACCGGTTTGGGGTGACTTTTTAAGTTTATTTGTGTATCATACGTCACGTATGTCACTACGCGTACACGGCTAGCATATAAGCAATATGTTTTCCTCACGTATATTTTCCATTTGTGCGTTATCGTGATAATGACCAAGTTAAGGTCATTTTGGAATTCTATATAAATGTAATATTCTTTTTCGTTCATAGCTGTACGTGGGAACCAATAGCTACTCTGGTATGTTAAACCACCCTTCAAAGTTCTGCGGGGATGCTAAATGTGGTTTCCCACACTATGGCCATGACGATGAATACGATTTATGAATTAGTCTTATTGCTTGTGGTGGACCAAAGTTCATCATCGTTAAATATTTTTTCAATTTATCCTAAAGTAATTTCAATATTTTGCTACATTATTTGTTGAGTATTCGTCGGAGTGTAAAACTTATTTTAAATTGTTTTATTACCAATATATTAATTAGTAATAAAATTGATAAATCAATGGATGCTGCTTCTATAGATTTTCTGACGTTTATGAATTTTACTGGAATATAGTTAAGGAAGGCATAGGGGATGGAGAATAATGTGCTTTGTGAGGAATTTGTTGAAAAAAGGGTCCTGCACGTTCCATAAGCAGTGAGTGTTCGGTGCTGATAAGGGATACTCCGCCTACCAGCCCCTGAAATCCTGCCGCCCCTACGGAGTTTAATGCCCTATCGTAAGGTCAAGTTGTTAGCGAGCTGCAATACTAGCATAAAGAATTCATCTTATAGATTAAGGGAGTAAATCGACGGAAAATTAATTTTTAAGGTCCTGAAAAGTCGAATGGATTATCTTGACAAATCCTTAAGGGTTAACAATTATATGGGTTTTGTCACGCTAATTATTTTTTATCTCTCCAATGTTCTCGTCTTAAGAAAAATAACGGGCTTGATTAGTACTTTTAGGAATAAAAAAAGTACAATGGCATGAATGCATAAACCTTTATTTTAATAAATGTACAATCTGAATTATTTTTCAAATATAAAAAATATGGTAAATTCTGTAAAATTTCATTCCTGATATCGGATTAAAAAAATAACACTTCCTCAGCACTGTCTATAAAAATATAGTAAAATATTCTCCAATTACATATACATACTACGTAGATAGGTTCCACATAATTCTAGAAATTGTTACAACAAAATTACTTAAGGAGTAAGAAATTTTGATAACTTAACCCTTAAAATCATGATATGTAATTGGTATTTGACTAATAATCTTTCAGAATCTCACATTATTTGCTGATGTGCATGAACAAAGAACCATATATATTATAAGCAGTTAGAATCTGTTAATCGAGGCAGTGTGGTCCTGTTAAACAAATGAAAGAACGTGAAATTCATGATCTTAGCAACGTTGCGACGTCCATTTTCATTTTTTTCATGATGCCACTCTGCTCTGATTTATGATATCATCCTTTCAAGGCCAATTTCAGCTAGTGTGTTTGCCGTGAATAACCCTGTATACATATGTATATAGACATATATTTGCTATTTTGTTAATTAAAAATATAATTGTACCTCCTCGATTGCTGCATCCCTATCAGAATCATCTTGTGTCAATTCGTCGTGAAGAGGTGACGAAAGTATCAAGTCTCTTTTACGTCTCTTGATTTCTTCTTCAGAAAAATTGCCCTTCATGACTTCCTTCGCCATTTTCCTAAGAGCCATCGCCTCGTCATTTTTTTTATTATCTATTTCATTAACAAGCCTCTCCAACACGTGTTTACCGCGCTCTCCGAGAAGACGTATCTTTTTTAAAACGTCTTGAAAAACTTCAGCTGACGTCAGTCCGCTATTGTTTACTCCTTGTTGTGCAAGTTCTATGATTGTTTTCTCAGTGATACTGTCCAATCCGATAGTAGAATCGTTGCTATGATATTTCAAAGTCTCTTTATTATCAGTATTGATTCGTTGCGAAGATTCTTGTAAACTTTCTCTATCTAATTGTTTTCCTAGTGACATTTTATCTTCTTCAAAAGTCCCATTGGTAGATCCCTCTCGCGAGGCATGTTTTGACTTTTTAGCTTCTACAAGTGCATCCTGTTTCCTAGCTTTCTTTTCATCCAAAATTGGTTGAGTGGATTCCTTATCAGTTATAATTTCCTTAGAATCTAAACTGTCTCCCGTATATGGGAAATCACTGCCTACGACAGGCGGTTTCTCTATATTGGCACTATCCATAAAGACACCCTCGTAATGATGATGTGGTGCTTCCTCCTGCTTTTTCTTAGTATCCAAAGTCTTCATAAACAGCTGGGTGAGTATATTTCTCATAGCTTTTGCATCCAATTCATGACTATTATAATGATGAGCCACGTGTCTAGGTAGAGTATTATTGACTCCTGGTGTACTATCCTTGTGATGAAAAAGAACTTCTTGTCGAGCTCTCTTCATTTTATCCGGCTCGTTACTGGGACCATCATCCTATAAATACAGATAAGAAATGCCTTTTTTATAAAACTATTAAAGTATTTACCATTCCTTCGACATTTCTCAACATGCCATTTTACCTGAAGTGTACTATTTAAAATATTTAGATGACCTCGTTCTTCGGCGATCTCCAGGAGCTCCTCAAGTTCCTCGCTACTGTCATCACCGATGAATGCACATTCATGCAAATTCTTGTGACCACGAATGATCGTCAAAGAAGCTCCTGGCCATCTGATATGACAAATAAAATAAGACGAACAATTTCCTAAGCAACATTCAATTACCTAATTTGTCTTTTTCTTCAAAAATTATACCTTACACAGGTAGAAACAGTGACGCTACTTCCACGAAGAAGATAGAAGCCCCAATACTCCTTCATATCGTCCTCGAGAATAAGATGTCTAGTCATTGATACAGGGATGGTTTCACCTTTGACCTTAGGCTCTTCTTGCATAAGATATGCATTAAACGTCGCATTGACTTTTACCACTTGTTTCTATAGTCAAGGAATAAAAGATAATAAGTTAAATAAGTAAGCTGTTATTTTTAAGTAAATTTTTTATACTTTGCAAACTTATACTGATAGTATAATATATTCAAGTATCAAATATCTCTCAAATATCTTAGAGATAAGATACAGTGTCTCATCGAAATTTTTTCAAATTAATCATTTTCTTTAATGCAATGTTATAAGTGATTTGAAAAAATTTATTAATATTTTATATTGTTACTACAAGTTTCTAATAACAAGAATCTCTCATTATTATTATGTTGATTTCATATGTCAGGAAGTCATCATGTAATTGTATCTTTTTTCAAAAATTTGAAAGTAGTATTTCAAATAGGCAGAAAAAAAAAATATGCATCTTAGTAAAAATATACAATTTTCAAGGTGGAAAATTCTAGTTGCTTTCTTATTTAGTTTTGCACTGTCTCAAGTATAATAAATTAAATCAAAATTTACAATATAGATTTATACACACCTGACACCACGTAGTCGATACTTTGCCATCGATTAATCTTTGATCAGAAGCAGACAATGGATACAGTTGTTCGGAATAGACTATGTATCTCAAATAAATTGGACCAGCAACCAGCATTGCCGGAAGTATCGTTCCCAAGATACACAAACGCACAAGTCTCAATGGGATCTTCAAGTTATTTCTCCTTGGTTCCCAATTTCGAGGACGTAACAATCCATCCTCTAAAATCATGAAATATTCATTAACAATTTGATCGTATAACTGACACAGCTTCATTCTCGTTTAGCACATCTGACACGCAGTGTAATAAATTTCATTTAGTTTTAGTCAATTAAATTAATAAAAAATTGTCTTAATTTTCAAATTTATTTTCAATTCTATAGAACTGAATCATTACGATCTAAATTATTAAAACCATACCATGCTAATACTCGCTCACTTTGATAAAAACAGTACCTAAGAATCTATAGTAATTGTGGCCTTTGGGTAATGCATTGGAGTATGGATATAGGTGAAATACATTTACATTAGTTTACGACTAAGAGTATGCTCTTAGTTGGTTTTACTCCTTAACGTAAATGGCCTAGTTTATTTTTCTGTCTATCAGTCAATTCTGTATGATATTATTGCATTGTTCCTTTATAACTGTTCAAACTGATAACTAATTACTAGAAATAGATAAACTCAGCTTGCTTATGACTTTGACTGTTATAGTTAATTATAAAGAGTATGATATTATTGCATTGTTCCTTTATAACTGTTCAAACTGATAACTAATTACTAGAAATAGATAAACTCAGCTTGCTTATGACTTTGACTGTTATAGTTAATTATAAAGAGTATGATATTATTGCATTGTTCCTTTATAACTGTTCAAACTGATAACTAATTACTAGAAATAGATAAACTCAGCTTGCTTATGACTTTGACTGTTATAGTTAATTATAAAGAGTATGATATTATTGCATTGTTCCTTTATAACTGTTCAAACTGATAACTAATTACTAGAAATAGATAAACTCAGCTTGCTTATGACTTTGACTGTTATAGTTAATTATAAAGAGTATGATATTATTGCATTGTTCCTTTATAACTGTTCAAACTGATAACTAATTACTAGAAATAGATAAACTCAGCTTGCTTATGACTTTGACTGTTATAGTTAATTATAAAGAGTATGATATTATTGCATTGTTCCTTTATAACTGTTCAAACTGATAACTAATTTTTAGAAATGGATAAGCTCAGCTTACTTATGACTTTGACTGTTATAGTTAATTTGTTAGGCGTTACTAAGTATTTGTTTATGAGATTTGATAAAAATTTATTAATATTTTATATTGTTACTACAAATTTCTAATAACAAGAATCTCTCATTATTATTATGTTGATTTCATATGTCAGGAAGTCATCATGTAATTGTATCTTTTTTCAAAAATTTGAAAGTAGTATTTCAAATAGACAGAAAGAAAAAAATATGCATCTTAGTAAAATGCATCTCTGATCAAGGTCTCAAATACCACTTAAAGTGCTACAGAAGCACCATTACACGTGTTGAATGAAAAAGTACGATTCCTATAATTTCTATATGAACTTTGATTAAATCAAAAATTAGCAGATGCGCACTCTCACTTCTTTGCTCCATATTTATTAATGTCCTTATCACAAAGGAAATATGAAGAATTTACGTAGATCTTATCTAAATTAATTTGTGATGTGTGGAAATCTTTAGTAATCCGGTTTATTAGCGTTTAGACGAATTATCTTATCGACAAGCTACTAAAGAAGATACAGTATAGACGCTTAACTTAATTAGTCCTGATATGATAAATATATAAACGTTTTGCATGATATATGCAAGAATTTAATTATCATGGTTATTCAGGTGTGTTACAGCAATTGGAGTTAGCAAGTTCATCAACTTGTTATTATCGATTTTCAAACTAATCAGATTCTGTTATGAGAACTTGAGGAATTAATAATTAATGTATTCTTAAGTTGAACGTTCTGTGATCAATTTTTTTAGTGATAGCATGTACTGTCTTCATATATTACTTTTTAAATAAACATTTTATCCGCAAGGTAATTCAAAGGGCCCAATCACCTTAAATATATTTAATAGTGACCTAGTCATCTTTTTCGTATCTATTTCAGATATGCATTACTAATAGGGCAAAATTGGTTATCCCTACAGTGACCAACATGCTAGAATATTCCAAAATGCTAATTCCCTTGCCGCACTTATCGACCTTCGCCTCACCAACAATATCACATTAGCCATTGTTTGTTTCGGGAAGTGAATGGTCTGAAGTTAAGCAGATCTATAATGTCTTTGTAAGTGTATGCCATGATTAAATGCAAATTTACAGTCTCTCCAGGTCTGATTTTTCATATACACATATATTTAACCTATCATAAACCTAGGTATTATCTTTGTTCTCGTGTCCTATGCTTTCTGCGCGTTTTTAAAAGTGGATTATTAACTGGACAAAGTGTACCTAACAAACTGAAGTAATTCCATAAATAGGTATACACGTGTTTCATATAATTTGAAATAATTATACTGCACAGACATGATCATTTGTGAAAATTGGTCATCTGTAAAGCATTCTGAAAATGAGATCTTACGTGGCAAATTGATGACCACTTTCCTTTGATATTATACAAGATTTTTTGCGAATATTATTTTGTGACGTTACGATTAAAACACTTAGACATGAGTTGAAGATAGGGCATGCATATATGTATATGTCAACGTGATGATATTTTATTTGTTTGACTTTGCATATATTTTTGCCCTTGCATATAATTACTTATATAATTTAATATAATTAGAATTATAAAACTTATAATAGCTCAATATAGTTATCAGTTGATAAAACGCTATCGAAAATTTAACAAACAAAAATCTTTAGGTTCGCTAGTTCTTCATTTTATTAACATTTCAAGAACCCATAGATTGCGAAATCAAGATATTAAATACCATTGTACTTCAAGCATCCCATCGATAGTCACGTATAACACGTGCCATAAATATAAAAAGCCCACAAAACTATAAAAGTTGCCATAAAAAGAGTAATTCAGAAAACAATAAGTTCGCAATCGTTCAAATTATTTTATATTTAAATATATTAATCATTAAATAACGCGAACACTACAGCTATGCGTGCCACAGATAAGCCACTAACGATAATAAATTATTTTCAATCTAGTACAAAATTATTTCATTTTTAAAAACGCTATGTCTAAAACCTACCCAGTATATCTGCCTGCAGCGGTACCGTTGACATTCTATTACCACAATACCATCAGTAGTAAAATATAAGAGAACAATCCTTCTTCAAGCGAATACAAATAGAAACGTCACACCAGATGCACGTTGCATACACTTGTTCTTATGCACTTCGCGAACAAATCCAGTGCATATTAAGAAAAGAACTTTTTCTTTCCTTCTGGCACTGTTATAGTTCACGAATGACACTTAAAAGACCATCCACTTTAAAATTCACCTACAAGTCACTTGATTTCCAAAAATAGATTTTCCACCACTATTATTATTCCTACTGTTACTGTCAGAAAATATAAAAGTAATTATCATACAATATTCAAAAACACTACGGGGTAACGTTTCCGAAACATGTTTATGCGTTGCACTAACCGTACCATCAACTTTCTACGTGTACTCTAAATAACGAAGTCCAGAGAGAATGAAAACGGAGCCTTGATAGCTGAATTCTTGAGTATTTGACTAAATTACTGTAAACAAGAAGCGCCACGTGTTTAAATTTGTATATGCTTAAGCAGATCTGGAGGCAAATTATTAAACGCTAATTATGCGTGTTATATATCGTACTGTTATATAAAAACTACTATGCACGATGTCCTCCGTTGACGGACAGACTGAGTTGACATACGAGAATGTACCGTGTTTTGTATCAGTCTCTTATCATACAGTTCGATGTTGACGTTGAGCAAGCAATACGGATAGAACTGCCAATATAGACTGGAAGGTCTACACAAACTTAGTCTGAAATTATATTTATATCTGCTATGCGATAAGTGCAATAGAGAGGCTTAGTTAATCTCTTATAAAATGATTTTCTCGCTATCTATGATGACTACCATACCATATTGTATCTCTGTTGATGTATACCATATTGTATCTCTTTTCGGATAGAGTAATAAATGAAACTTTTTAAAAGAACGGTTATAGCATTAAATTACCTAATTGCTTGCCATAAACTGCTATTGCTTATCATGTCATTATTATTCATATAGGACTATGTGGCTAAAGTGGTTCTACACTTTATGAAAGATTATTTACTACACTTCAATTATTATTTTATAAGCATAGTGATTTCCTGATACGTTATTTACGCGACACAAGTATCTTTAGTATGTAATCATATAACAGCATGTCTGCTAAATGATATGAAAGTGTGTTCATAAGGAACTTGGAATCTAGGAAGACATGTTAAGAAAATATTACCGTCTTCTTGGATGAAATAAAAGAATACTATTGCGCATTTTATATTCTATGAATTGCATGACACGTGGCTGACATTTACATTGAAAATGTACGTAACTTCATTGGATTACGTAAAATGCAAATTGTAAACTTGAATGATGCACTAGTGGCACTTCGCGTACCATGCATACCTCTAGTAGCAGATAATGCTGTACCCTGGAATTTTAGTTCAATCAATCGCTCGACCCCGTATTATTGATTATTATGAACTGTCTTTAGCTGGTTATTCTTTATGTGACAAATTATCTCAAGTCTGCGGAAAACTTTGCTGAAATGGCATATAACTGATTGTATGTACAAGAAATATTTTATTTACAATGCATCATTGTTTACATTGCAACTGGAACCCTTTGTTACTGATACAGTATGGGGCCAACATCCTACCGTATACTGTACTTAGTATTTATTTGTGCCGATGGTAACTCTTTTTATCGTCCTTATTCTTTTGAGACTTTTCGCCTCGTCGTCGCTTATTCAAAGGATTCCTTGGATCGTAAATCTCAAACCAATCATCATCCTTAGTACTGGCATCTTTAGCTAAGACTGCCGACTTTTCTTCGCAGCGTAACGTATGTGTCATCCATGATTCATCAGTTGGGTCATCCTCATCATCGTTCTTTTCAGTTTTCTTTTCTTCGCTCGAAGTCGTCTCTGCTACCTGTTCCTTAGCGGTTTGAAGTTTGCTCCGAAATTTTTTTAACATCTGAAGCGTAAAGTCCTCACGTGATGGACCTGTAAAGAAACATGTATAACTAAACTAAATAACAAGGTGAAAAGTCGACAATAGATATACCTTTCTTAGGTAATTTCGATTTAGCATCTTTGTACTTCTCCTGCGTTTCTATGTACTCCCTTAAAATTTCAGATTTCTTTTCCTTTTTTTCCTGAAGTTCCACTTTCATTTTCTCGTTTTCTTCCTTTGCTATTTTCTCGTTTTTAACACCGCGCTTCAACTCGCGGATTTCTTTCCTTATGGCTTCCCTATAAAAGTAATAATCTTTTTTATGTTTACTAGCAGCAAACAGCAATTATCGCACTCACGCTTTCTTTTTTCTTTCATCATCTCGCGCTTTTCCTAGATAATATTCCTCGACGTCTGAATCGTTATCATCCTCCTTGTCATTCACCTTATAATCATCGAGCTTTGTCGTACTGGAAGACTTTTTTGAGTGTGTTAATTTATTCTTTATTCTTTCTTTCATCTCTCTGTAGACATAACATAAAACAAGTATTTATAGGGTTGTTCAGGTCAAACGTACCAACTGTAGTGAATCTGTCCTTTTGATATCTACAGAAAAATCAACTTCAGTCGATGCGTTTGTTCTGAATGACATTTTATATTTTACTATCTACCAATGACCCAATGTCTGTGATCATAATGCATAATAAAATATAATTGTGTAAAAGATAATATGGCATTTGATGCTCTGTATTTGTAGTGCAAACCCATTGGAAAGCTCGTACCTCATAATAATATATTATTAATACAAAACGTTCTTTAATCGTGGAAAACAAATACTTACTGCTTTTCTTTTGATATTGCTGCCAATTCTTCAGGAGTTTTCATTTCATCCCCACTTTCCCAGTCGCTACTACGATCTTCTTTAATTTTTTTACTTGGTGGCCCTGCAGGTTCCACCGCAGCCTGACTGCTTAACTTTGGATCTGCTAAATTATCGTGAGCTGATTTTCCTTTTCCGCCAAACTGTTTATTCAATACTACGGATTCCTCCTCATCTTCCTCGGCTTCTTCGCCAAAAGATAGTAATTTGAAATTTCTGCACAAGTGCAATTGAAGTAATTGTTATATTCGGTGTAAGTCATCGACTTTTACATAGCAAAGAAATACTTACTTTACACCAGATTTTTTATCCTTTTTCTTATTTCTCTCCTCATCGCTTCTGTTTGAGACGCTTCTAGGTTCAATGTCTGTGAATGGATTGCTTAACACTTCTGTTTTTAAGACCTTCTGTGGATACACTGGTCGTTCATGCTAAAATAGAATTGCGAAATGCATCTTATTGTAAAAAGTAGTATTCTCCAATGATTTTTACTAAAATCAATTGCAACATATTTTAAATATTATGTATTAGAAGGCTTTGCAGCAAATAGTTACCTCATTGACAAGCGCATCCTCCAGCTTGAGCATATTATAAATAGTTTCACCAGTAACTTTTCCAAAAATAGTATGTTTATTTTGCAATTCAGGCGTTGCTGCAAGTGTAAAAAAGAATTGGGAACCATTGTCATCCTTGCCTGCATTCGCCATTGCCAATAAACCTCTGCGGCAAAAACGTAATCTTGTGTGGAACTCATCCTATATGCAAAAATTGTTTGAAGTTATGTATTTCTACATTGCTTGACTTTGTAGAATACCACTAATAGTTTGATAGAATAATAAAATGTACCTTGAAAGGTTCTCCATAAATACTCTCACCCCCCTCACCAGTTCCAGTCGGGTCACCTCCTTGGGCAATAAATCCTTTTACAATTCTGTGAAATATTGTATTATCATAATATCCTTCCATGCACAATTGTATAAAATTCCTGCATGCTTTTGGAGCTTCCTTGGTCCATAACTCCAAATCTATATCACCAACTGTTGTTTTCATAACCACCTATTGTACATACAAAATTATTAATATATCATACATACATGTTTATTAATGCAACTACGATTCATAAGGAATATATTCAATTTAAAATAAAAATTTAATTGAAAGAAATAACAAATGTTGTCTTCGGTACAGGTTATATTTAGTTTTATTTGCGTCACATTTATTTACTAACTTCTAATTAATACTTTATTGCACTGTTAAAGGAATACTTACTTTACCCGTAGTGGGTGGTTCTTGTATATAAATATTGCTCATGATTTTATATACTTAGTGCAGATTTTTATGTTTGACAGAATTTCATAGAGTCGTTTTTATTTACTCTTTGTAGAACAACGCCGTGAAAGACTGACAGATGCTGATGGGCACCAATTCGCGGTTGACAATAACTAGAAAAACCACTAAATTAATTGCATTTTTTGGTAAGTTACCATTAAGTCATTGTAATTAACATAAGCAAAAAAATATATATTTATAGCTTCTTTAATTTAGAATATCGCGGTATAGTCATATACTTCTTGATATTGATAAAACATGAATTTACCCTTTCCCATTTAACACCAATTTCAATAGTTTTTATCATATTTGTTGGTTGCCTAGTTGATTACAATTTATTGCGCGAATTTAGTAGTAGTTAATGTGAAATGTAAAACTTGCATTGTTACCCAGTGCATAGTACATTATAATTTAATACAAAAACTAGTCTTGATGTCAAGCATACTTCATTAAGAATATAATATAGTGAATAAACTAACATAATATTACATAACATAATAGAACAAAACAATAAATTTTTTGTGTGAGGTGCTCCAATTTTAATTTTTAACAAGTGTATAAAATATAATTTTTACTTTCGAAAAATATCTTATAAAAGCCATGGCAGAGAAAAAAGAATTGTATAATCTCATTAATGGAAAAACTAAGCTACCTAAAATGAGACCTGTTCCAGATATATCACAATTTGAAATCAATCATATAGAAAAAAGTGATCTTTCTAAGTATCGTTTGTCTACAATAAAACGTTGTGAAGTATATGATATATTATTAGCTATGGGCAAAAGATTTCAAAAAAATAACTCCACATTTGAGGAAAGAAGTGATTCAATAAATCAGATTCAATTACCTAAATCATTTTATATTAAAAAACTTGAAGAATGGGCATGTCAAATACCTGTAATAGGACTTTTACCTGAGTGGGAAACAAATATAGAATCTCTAATACCAAAAATGATGAAAAAGAACCACTCTAAAATGTATGAAAGTATTATACAAGAAGCAAAGGATATTTACATAAAGCAAATGCAAAATTTAGAAATTCAGAGGATCGTGGTATTTGATACAGATGATGAAATTCAAACAGATTTTTGTGATCATTGTCTTTGTCCTCAAATAACTTCCCACATGCCCCGTTCATTATTCATAAAACGCTGCAATTTCTTGGAACAGCAATACTTTCTGTCTCACAATGTCATTAAATGTATAATTATTAAGGCACACTCTCAGCTACCAACAAAAATTTTAAATATGAAACAGTACCCACAACTCGGCTTATTAGATCTATCATCACTTCAAAATTTAATAATGAAGGAAATTAAAAAAGGAGGTTTAATTATTACAAAGAATTACTACCGCTATACTGAAAAATTAATACAAAAATCTAAGAGTATTCAAAAAATTCCATCTAAAAAACTTTTCCAATTTATGTGTTGTGTAACAAATGTATTTGTGCAACAAATTTTAAACAGCATGATGAACACTATAAATCATGTAATAGAAGAAATACAGGATCATCAATCTTGTCCTCAAATTAATTTACAACTCGTGTGTGAGAATAACAAGTTGGCTATTAAACCAAGTATCGAAGAAATATATTTATCCTACCATAGCATCATTGATAATGTTACAAACATAGCTCAAGATTTTATACCCCTAGAAGAACGGCTAGGCATAAAAACAGATCAAGAATATATTAAGATAAAACTACCAGAGTGGTTTATAGTAAAATCTCATAGTAAACTGCAGCAGGTCCTTCAAGAAATTTTCCAGCCTTTAAACAACTACTTTCAAGAAGTGACTACAGCATTTGGCGAAGTTTGTTCTTCTAAAACGAAATCCAAAATTGAGCAGTTCATCACAGAAGGACAAAGTTTCGAAGTATATTGTAATAAAGTTAAAAAGTTTAATACATTTGCTAAACAGGCAAATGCAATGGTGGATAATATTTATTATGCTACAGGAAAACTGGAACAATTATCAGCAAAAGAATCTTTAAAAAACTGCGCATTAAGTATTGTTGACATAGTGTTAAAGGAACTTATCGTTTATCACCGTAATTACAATGAGTCAATTTGTTATACATTTGAGGAACTTAAAATGCGATTATTGAATGTACCTAACAATGCAAAAGCTCTGTTTGAATTAAGTGATTATGCGTCGCATGCCTCGAGGACGCTTGTTTATGAATTGGAAAAGAAAATTGAAAAATCCATTAAAATGCTTCTCTCTCTAATGTATATTACAACTCTCACAGAGGACCACATGGAGTTGAACAAACGTACAATTAATTGGATGCAAATGATTTTGCCCGTATTTGAGCAAAGTAATACGCTATGTGAAGCCATGAAGTGCGAACTTGAAGATGAATTGCAACGAAAAATAAACACGTTAAATGCCGAGGTTGATGACATTTTTCCAAAGCTTATTATACTTGATGATATGGATGATGCAAAGAGGATTCATGAGTATATGGAGGATCTAAGAGTTCTAGTGATAAAGATGGATCATATAGATGAACAAATCGAATGGATTAATATGGAAGAGAAGCTTTTCAAATTTCCTGAAACACTCTTTCCAAAAAACGATGAAATTAAGGATATAATAATGCCATTCTATTCTCTGATTAATCTGATTTATAAATGGCAAAGGGACAGTGGCGTTTGGTTGGATGGACCTTTTGAATATTTGAATTCTACCACCATTGAAGAGAAGACTTTATATTATTTAAAAGAGTTTACACAAATAAGTAAGACTTTCAAGGCAAAAATTAAAATGGATATATCAACTAATAAACCTTATAGATTTTCTGGGATCGTTGATGATCCTGATCCTATGCAACAACCTGCACCATTAAAATTATGCTGGCAGGTTTTAGATGATCTCAATAAGTTAGGGCAGTACGTCCCTTTAGCTGTTTGTATGTGCAATCCAGCTTTAGTAAAACGTCATTGGGATGAGATGTCAGCCATTGCAGGATTTAATCTTACACCAAATGCTGGAACCACTCTTAGAAAAATGATTGAACATGATCTTATGGGTAATATTGAAAAGTACCAAATAATTAGCATCGGTGCTAATAAGGAGCTTGCTCTTCAGCATCAATTATTTAAAATGGTCGAAGAATGGAATTCTGTACTTTTTTTAACAGAGTTAGATGAAAAATCAAATATACTCATTCTAACTGAGTTAAATAATATCGAAATTCTTCTAGAAGATCATTTAATAAAGATTCAAGAAATGCGTGGCTCTTACTTTGTTAAACCAATACAAACGGATGTGATGGACTTTTTCGATTTTCTTTTACGGATTCAAAATATCATTAACCTATGTACTCAGTTGCAGAAACACTGTTTATACTTTCTCCCTGTATTTTCAAACGAAGTAGCGGCAGTGCAACTGGCTGAAGAGAAAATTTTATTCACAACTGTCAAAATTACCTTGCAAAACGCTATGGATGAAGTCTCCAATGATGCCAGAGTTCAACATATTGGGAAGAATCTGGAATTCTTAAAAAATCTAAAAGAAGCTGCTAACAATATGGAAAAAATTAGCAGCGGAGTATATAATTATTTAAACAAGAAACGAACGTATTTTCCAAGATTCTTCTTTCTCTCCGATAGAGAAATTATGCAAATCTTATTTGAGAGCGAAAATCCTAAAGAAATACAAAATCATCTGAAAAAATGTTTTACATATATCGACAAACTTGGTCTCAACTATGACATGGCTATATTTTCAATTATTGGAGATTATAACGAAGAAATAGAATTACAGAATATAATCGATACTTCCAAAGCTTCTGGTTGCGTTGAAAACTGGCTAGCTGAACTTGAAAAAGAAATATATTCTACTTTACGTGACAGAATTGTAAGAAGCTACATGCAGTTTAATGAAACGTCTTTAATCGAATGGATTCTCAACAATCCTAACATGATTGCTGTTTGTGTTCTACAAATTTACTGGACTGCGATGGTCGAAGACTACTTTTTATCTGGTAAACCAGCAACTCTTAAGGAACATATCGTTAACCATTCCAAATTTCTATCTGCCATGCTTGCCGAGTTAAAAACTCAGTTGCCCAAAAAAAGTAAAATTATGCTAATGACCATAATTTATATCACAAGTCATCAAAGAGAAATACTCAACTCGTTTCTAGAAAAAAATATAACGTGTCCGTCTGATTTTAATTGGAAAGCACAATTACGATATTACTGGCACACCGATAAAGTTAAAGTGTCAATGATCAGAACAGAAGTAAATTATGGCTACGAATACTCCGGTAACCAACCGTATATAATTAATACACCATTAACTGATAGGTGCCAAAGAACTATAATGGAGGCTTATCTATTTCACTTCTATGGTGCTGTTGTAGGGCCTTCGGGTACTGGAAAAACAGAAACCATTAGAAGCTTAGCAAGATCACTTGCCGTTCAATTCCACGTATTTAATTGCACCGAAAGTCTTGATTATAAAAGCATTAAAAAAATACTTATAGGAATGATATCTTGTGGTGCATGGATTTGTTTTGAAGATTTTCATAGAATCAGACCAGATATATTATCCTTGATGGCACAACAAATGTATTCCATTGCACAAGCAATTGGCGCAAAATTAGAAACTATTAATTTGGATGGTACCATTTCGAAATTACATTCTGACTCGTATATATGCATCACAATTAATTCTGGATGGGTTGAAAAAACGAGATTACCTGACAACATGAAAGTTCTCTTTAGAAATATATCCATGTTTGCACCGGATATTTTGAGCATCAGTGAAATGAGACTTTTTGCAGCCGGATTCTCCAGCGCTAAAATGCTTGCTGCAAAAATAACAGTGCTTAATAAACTTTACAGTGAACAATTGTCTTCTCAAGTGCATTATGACCTTGGTGCACGCTCCATTAAGTTGATCGTGGATACTGCTGTGAATTTAAAATTTCGTTATCCAAACGAAGATGAATCTGTTTTAATATTACGTGCATTGATCGATGTGAATATACCGAAACTCCTTGAACAGGATGTCCTTATATTTCAAGGACTACTGCAGGATTTATTTCCAAATATTATTCTACCTCCACCGAACTATGAATATCTGCTGAACGCACTCAATGATATCTGTGTGAAGAAACGTTTAGATTTTC